ATTTAAAATATTTAGTAATAAGAGAAAGAAATTTATTTTTATTTTTTTAAAGTGCGGTATTGCAAAATAATTTATTTTTTTTTTTTTTTTTTTTTATGCGTTAGCAGGTAATGGGGCCATAGTATATTATTACAACCTAAGCTGTATGCTATGGAATGACTACCTAAGGTCTCAATATAATTTTTCATATAAAGCAACCATTAACTTGCATCAACCCTAAAGGTTGCCATCTAGGAATAGACTCTACACAACCCTTTTGAGAGGGTATGCGTAGGTACCTAGACCTCTAGGTCCTATTAAATTTGGATAGAGGGATCACTTCAGCCCATAGAGTCATCACTTCTATGCTTTACCAAAGTCAAGTAGTCTACAATTTGCCTTATATTCACATAGTGCATTATTGAACCAGTGATCAGGAGTAAGCTTACTTAACAAGGTGACTTTATACTCATTTCATCAAACAACCCAGAAATCAAACCTGGCCTCTAACCCTAGTGATAGCTCGATTAGACGGTATTGCGGTATGCATTGCAGTCTTTTATTACTGTTAATCTAATCTACTAATTACTGGCAATCACTTCCTTAATTTATATACAATCTTATTATCATATACAGAAATAAAGCCCCCTGCTGTGTGAGACGTAAGACTGTATTCATTACAGACCAATCAGCGAAGGTCAAGTTTCTGTCAATCCCTGGCTTCATTTGCATTTACTTGTTCTAACGCCGTGCAGTATTTAGGCATGATTAATGTTGATCGACAGATCAATCAATCAGATTTGTATGCATGTTAGTACATACGCCTATCATATTCAGTACATATGAAATTCTTATAAAATTCATCTAGTTTTATGTATCGGCCGATACCTGAACTGATGGCCTATTGCTATGTAATGAAACTTTAGCTTAATAGGAGACTCGCGGTTTAACCACTGAGCCAGGAATGCCATTCCCCCAAAATAATTTATTTATTTTTTTTAACGTGCGGTAGCTTTGCAAAATCTTTATTAATTTGAAGAAAATTTTATACAAAATAAAAAACAAAACAGAAAATTTACGAAAACTTCTATCTAATATAAAACTATACTAAATCAAAGCCAACCTTGCACCGTCCCAGACTACTCTACCCAAAAATAAATTTAAATAGAATCAACCATCCAGTACAGGGGGCCTGGTAGCTACCTAGCCAAAAATCTGACCAATGCTTTTCGTATCTAAAGGAGGAAATAAAGGAAGGGGGAGGAAGAAGACAAGAAGAAGAAGAAGAAGGAAATCCTGTAGAAATAAAGTTCTCTTTTTTGGAGGATAACAAAATATTCATTTATGTTTCCAATCTCTGCATAGTGATATTTTGGTCATTCTTTATGGAAGATGCTTACTCAAAAACATGATGATAAACCATAGATAGGAGGGAAAGAGTCATTTGTTTGTTGTTGAGAATTCAAAGATACAGTTATAGAGGTCAAGAGGAACTAAGCCTTTAATGACATTGATTAAATAGAAGTTAGAGCCTTGGGAAATTAAGTTTCAAATGGGAGAGAGACTGATATATTTAAGTAGATCATTGGGGATAAAATCCACTTCTTTAAGATCAACTAATTGAGAGGACAGAAGTTGGCATATAGAATTAATTAAAGCACAAATTTGATTGGAAGAGGAGGAATAAAGCCAGATGTGATTAAAATCTTCTTCTATTATAGAACATCGACAATATAGCAAACTAGAATGATAGAGAAAAGGGTGTCAGATTTTAAGGATTTCAATTGTGAGAAGCATTTTCAAAAGAAATTTGTATTTTTGTTTTTTAAGACCAGAGTCTTGATATGAAGTTGACAAGAGTGAACCATTATCATTAAGAATAAAGGTGAATGCTAGCCAATTGATAGCTATAATATTATAATGAGAAAATTGTGTAAGAGATAGAGTGTCTTAAAATTGAATTGATTGAAAAAGGAGTTTGATGAAATATTTGGAAGAGGTTAAAATTGGAAATTTGTGGAAGAATATGGGAAAGTCAGGACTATATGAAATAAAATCAAAAGAAAGAATAGGACCATCCTTTTTTGCAAGAGTGTCGACTTCATTATTAAATTGATCAGATACATGAGCCTTGATTTTTATGAACGATATAGAAATATTTTTATCCTCTATAAGTCGGAAAAATGCAAATCAAATTGGAAAGTATGAGATGTTGTATAGTGGATTATTGGTGGGAGAGCATCATTTTAAGAATTCAAATTTGTCAAAATTGTTTATGGTCATTTGAGCATCAGTACAAGTATTAATAATTGATGAAGTTGGAGAGACATATAAAGCAGTAAGGATAGCCAGAAGTTCAGCAAGTGTAGATGAAAATGAATTAAGAAGAAGTGTGGCATTAAAGCAATGGACGGATATAGTGGGTTGGTTTGTAGCCAGACAATTCCCATACGGACTGAAGAATTCCCTAGATTAACTAAAGATTGTCAGTATAGAATTGTAAGGTGGAAGTATTAGTAAAATTAGCAGAATATGAATGAAGGCGATTGATAGAATGTTCATCAAAATAATTAAAAAAAGGAGAAATATTTGTACAGAAGAAGTAACTTGGTTACTCAGTAGAGTAAATGAAGTTACTGGAGAAATAAAAGTAGCAAAAGCCAATTTATGTAACATGAATGGTGATAGAAGACACTGCATGCTTCCAGTTTAACAATTGATGTTTTTATATTTGTGCATAACTCTTTAGGATTTTTAAAAAAAACAATAGCGATTCTTGCCAAACATATTGGTAGCTCTAAAAGTGGTATTGTCTTGTAAAATACATCCATTACACAGTTCAAGAATTAAATTAAAGTTATTATTGTGTAATACAATATGATGTTGTAAATGGATAGTATCCTCAGTAATAAGTAGTGTTTTACTAACTATAGAAGTTTGGAGGCCTATATTCCAAGTAGTGGCATAATTGGTCATATTTTTCTTGAACATTGGAGGAGCAATGCTCAGCTGATTATGATGAGGATTCCGCATGTGTAAAGGTATCGACCGAGATGAGAAAGTAATAGAAAGAATAGCTTGCAGTTTTGTAAACCAATGTGGAATAGTGTGTGTTGCCATTTTGGTAGAAATAACATTAAGGTCTGAATGTGTAAAAAGAACAGCTCTATCATTTGTGGTGAATTAGTCGAAAAACATGATTTCTTTGTTACGAAGTGAAGAAAAAAAATAATTTATTTATTTTTTTTTTTTTTTTTTTTAAGTGCAGTGATTTGCAAAAACTTTATTGATAGTAAAATATAAAAATTAAATAAATCAGAATTTACAAAAATTTCTATATAATATAATAAAAACTATACTAAATAAAAAATGACCCTGCAATTTCATATAATCAAA